AAGTTCTAAAGCAAAACATCTCTTGGTCTGACCTACCTTTATGTCCATATCTTGAGATACTTTCTATAGAGCAACAGGTTAGTTATGTCTTATTTCTTCAATTTCTAATGATGAAGCGCTGCGAATCTTTCTCTACATTTGACTGATTTTAATTTACCATTTATTGCCAAAGTGATATTTGTTTCCCGTCGTCGTCAAAATTTCTAGATTTATTTAGATGTATATATTTGTTCAAAAATGTAGATCATTTGTACAAAGTGTGCCAGTTTATCCTGGAGCTAGATGAGCGCTCATCAAGACAGGGCAATGGCTGTGTTCTTTGGTAGTTTGAATAAATAAACTAATGAACTAAATWAAAAAAAGAACCGAGGAAAATATTATAAAATAGTAATTATAATTTTTATGTTTATGATTTGTTGAAATTACTCCATATAAATTATAATAACACTTTAACTATATTTTTCAGGCAGCCTACTCTACATTCAGTGTAAACAAAGATGGCCAGACAGTTTCTTTCAAACCGAGYAAAGACATTTACAACAGGAAAATGTCTACTGAAAGTTTTGTTTATCGTGTGGGTCTTGTGAATGGTGAAAATATTATGCTAAATGCAACAGCACGAGTGTCGATTAGCTTYAACAATACTTCGGGAGGATCGGTGGATTATCAAGAGTGCAAAAATGGATCACATAGAAGTYGGATAACACCCAGCTTCACTACTGAAAGGTAAAATCATGTCTGTAATTCAGTACGGCCTGCGCAGCGTTCAAACATAGTCATGAATGCTAAAAAAGCCGCCGATCACTACAACTATGCTGGGCCCGGTACTGTACGGAGGCTGGATAAAGTTCCGTTACTCGAATCCCAGCAATGTCGGATATAATTGTTTTGCTGATTAATTTCCAAGGCACGTCTTTCGGAATAACCTCGGCCCTCTCAGCACTATAACTTTCAATTATAATATTTCCAGTTCATGAAGTTTGGCAAAGGGTTTATCTACATAAAACAAATATGTTTTTCATAGTTGGTGGCATAAAAGTAATCAAAACAGTAGCTGTTCTATCTAACACAGGCGACTCGAYGGYGTTCACAATAATAAGRACCATGCTAAATGGGGAGCTGYAATGGAAGATCTATCACGTGATTTCCAGGCGGCCTATGAAGACAAATTCGATGTTCCCCCAGGAACATGCACAGTGCAAGAAAGAATATCGAACATCTGTCGGTACCCTGATGAAATGAATGGTTATGGATCGAATCGACCATCGCCGAGAAATGTCAGCAACGTTCTTTTTCATCAGGTTAGCGTTGGAGCATTTTCAGTCTACAATGTTTTGTAAATTTGTGTGAAATACCGACTATGATTGTGTAACTACAACCTTCTCACCATTTTTGTCATGTTGTTTGTCGATGAAATCGCCAAGGATGAACAAAGGAACGTGTGTGCATGTCTCATGCAGTGCGGCCGTTCCCTTTATAGTATGCAGAGAATTGTTCTTTCCCATTGTGCTCACCTTTAATTTCTTGTGGTGTACAGATAGAACCAATCATTAGTTCAAGGAAACTTAGTGACATGCATGCGCACTTTGGACAAGTAAG